GTAACATATATGTAGCAGAATTTGTGCTACAAATCTATACCATTTTTGAACTGAAAAGAATGAATATTCTCTGTGACCTTCAACTACACATTTAAAAAACTATAACTGATGCTCTGGCTAACAATTAAACATATGGTCTTTTATGTTTCTCAAGTCAAAAGCAATTTGATGACCTTAATTAATACTACTACATGTACTGACACATCTGTTTCATACTTGGACATTTTACAAGAAATACTAGTTCACAAACCTAACCAATTAAAACCAAACACATGTAATTTAATGGTATAGAAGTTGATAAAGTTTATTAAAATTTTCTTCCAAATCATACTTCATCACCAGCATATGGCATTTATATATCGCAGTCGATTCGATACACAAGAACAAGCTCTTCATATGAACAATTTCTAAAACGAGGCAAATTATTGACAAACAAGTTGATGAAAAAAGAATAGCTGTATTTCTTTGACATCATTTCCTAAGGTTCTTTGGATCACAATGCAGTATTGTCAACTCTACAATTTATTGTGAGTCAAATGCTGACTGATCTTTTTCATATTTTGTGCTCTTTTTATTGACGACGCAACCGATTTCCCGCTTCATGAGACACATGCATGACTATTGAATTCTTGATGTTTTAGAGGTCCATGGCTCTGGAAATTGTCAATATTGTATTGTTTGGCAAATACGAATTGAGGATCACTTTTTGGAAAAATCTCCATATCCATCATTTAATGGAATAGTATTCGCATCTTCTGAAAACACATAAAAAGTAGTTTTAAAACATGTTATTAATATATGTCATTGAAAATGTGTATTCAAGTTGATAGCGTGCTAGTCTCAAAAGAAAATGATATCATATATTTATTGTTATATAATCAAAAAAAATGAATGCCACATTTTATAACCTCATTTAAATAAAACTGTGGGAAAAACGTTAAAAAAGGGTATAAAATAAGAATGAGAACTTTAAATACTAAATTTAGGCCATGTATTGGTATTTTTATAATATATCTGAAGCTGTGTGCTATGATATGTTATGTTCAATACATAAAATCCTCTAACATGAAATGTTAACGTTTGTTTCTAGTAATAAAAAAATTAACAAGTTTCTCATTATTAAATTCTACATCCAAAAAAATGTGTGCTATTTTTTTTTATTTTAGATTTCGAATGCATATACCTTTTTTTTAAAGCTTTCCGATGATTCAACTTTCCGTTGTCAATCTAAGCATTATTATTATAGGTGATTTTGTCATTGTGTTTATTAAATGTGTTTTTGTTTCTTTAATGTTTTGATAAGTGTTTTGTTTCAAACAATTTGAAATTGAATGTTAAAGCCCAACCCTATATATTTTTAATACTAAATAAGTTTATTAATAACTCAAGTCAAAAAAAAAAATCATTAAGCACAGGCTCAAATTTTACACGCTTTTTAAATATATGCAAGACACCATGCATATCGCAAATTCGTTAAGATAACTACTGCGTATAAAGAAAGTTCCAATGCTTATCATGCATGACACTTCTAATTTTTTCAATGATTCAAATTATATGAGAAAAAAGAACAATAATTACCTTAAAATTTCAACTTCCTCTTAATTTAAAGACTGGTTAGATAATTTTCTTCTACCTATATAATTATTGTTTACATAACGTCAATGTACTAATATCACCCCTACTAATCGTGTTTGGATGATATTCTTTATCGCTGTTAAGTGAGCGTAACCGCTCCCAGTGGTTCATTTGACCTCTAAATCAGACCAGCTCGAGACCATGCGAGATCTGCACCAGTTCCTGTAAGATTTAGACAGGAGTATGTGTGTTTTGGGGATTTATGCATTTAAATGTAAGCAAAGTCTTTTTTTATTTGCCTTCTGAACATTTTTCTACATAAAAATCTATTTAATTATTTTTTATTTCTTGAATTCTATCGCCTCAAAAACACAGGAAACGAGAAACATTAAATTCAAGGTGCATTTAGAGTTATTCTTTGTTTACACACCCTCCACGTGGTTGGAAAAATAAAAAAAAATCTTTTGGCGTCATAAAATTATATAGGGCTTGTCAGTTTCGAATTAATATATGAAATTATTTATGTTGTTTTGGTGTCAACATTTTACCCCAATATTAAAAGAAGTGAAAATGATTTTACGTGGTACTATAGTCTGTTTGATCTTTACACAGCAGATACACAATTTCTAGTTATACTTACATGCAATATACATGTAATAAACGTGTGAACAAATATTTACCGGTAATTAAAAGAATACAGCAATGAATGTGACATTCAAAAGATTAGAAATGGTAAATAACAATGTAAACAACCCTCAAGTGATCAGCTGGTGATTATTATTCAGGCGCGGATCTAGAAATTTCAGGCGCGGGGGCGAGAAAAGAGTATATATACATTTTAACTTACTCATTTACATAAACATGTGCATGTAGTTAAATAACTCCGGCACTAGGATATAGGGTGGAGTGTGTTTCTTCAAAAATGGTAGGTCATCAACCTGTGAAAAAAATATCTTTATTAGATACATTACTGAATTTATTTTAAACCTAAAAAAAAATCTTTGAACCTGGTAAATTCTTTGAAAGTAAAGAAGTAGAGTTTCATTTTGTTATCACAACCAAATTTCTTTATATATTACAACATTAGCCTCTCAATGAACATTTTTTCTGTAGTACAACAGAACACTTTAGAAATTTGGGTCTTAATTTCTTTTCTCTCATCACTCCTAATTAAGTGGCAGGAGGGACCGTGAGCCAGTCAAGTTGCGCCCATCGGCCAATAAAAACGTCCCCGGTCATAATGTCCCCTAATTTTAGTCAAAGCATCTCCTCTTATTTTAGTCAAAGCACCCCCTAACATATTTTTATAGAAAAACACACTGCCACCAAATATATTACTTGAATATTTATTTAAATTTCCTCTATTCACAATCATGACATACAGAGCATTAAAACTGTAAAGTTTTAGACCTAGCATGGAGTGGACCAGCAAGTATTTATTTATTCATACTACCATGTTGAAAGGGATAAAAAAGCATTCCAAAAGTCTTGTTGTTTATAAACTAATTATATCACACTCATGATGGTGTGTGTCAGTGTCCCTAATGCAAAAGAAATATACTTTAGTAAAATTCTCAGATATTTTTATATAGTATTTAGATTATGATCAAAATGATTTATCATTATCGAATAAAATATCTCTACAGTTATGATGCAAAAAAGTTTTTTATCTTCTTCTGAAACATAGGATATGGGATATAACTAATAGTATTCAATATCAAAGTCCATAACAAATACGAATAGGTGCAGAGCAACATGGACCTCTGAAACATCAGAGGTCAGATAAGGTCATGGTGGAGTAACATCCCCTGCCGCAGGGTTGACACTAAAAATCTCAGGCTTTGGTTTGGCCGGACTAGTGTCCCTTCAACTTTCTACTAGTCCGCGTTTAATTTCTATGTGTCCAAAAATAAAATGAGAATTTTCAAGCTACACATTAAATGATCTTTTACAATGATAGTTTAGCTTGGTAATCAAAGGTGTATTGAGAAATAAATTTTAAGTAACTCGGTAATATATATATATTTTAACTGCATTCAGTTCAATGAAAATAACAAAATTCTAATATGTATGACTGTCACATATAAATGTTAAAAAGAATAAATTAATATTGCCATTGCAAAGGGTTACCCAAATCGCCTTCATAGTCTCATTTTTCAATATTTTCTTCACTTGTTCTAAAATGATATTAACTAATAGTCAACGGTTACTTTTATATGATCTATTTCAAATTTTTCCATGAAAGTTCTTCATTTTCTACAATCAGAAGAGGGAAGTGGGTTAATAATAAATATGATTCAGAATCATATCATTGATTTCTTCTTGATACTAGCTAGCAAAAAGGAAAATAATTACTTAGATCTCATCATGCATAAGATATTACTGAAGTGGTTTTTATCATTTATGCAATGTTGTACAACTCTTCATGTTGATTAACTTTTAACACTGAGCTCAAAACTTTCAGGTCTCTTCAGGAATGTTATTTCACATCAATATTCAGATGCGCACGCGAGTTGCCCCATCATACCCCTAGCCTAATATATTGAAAGACAGTAGTGGTAGAGAGATTTCTACAGGATGATGTCAGGATGACAAACAAATAAGAAATCTGTTCAAGAACATCAAGAAACTGTCCACCTGTAGATACATAAAAACAAGGCACATGCAATTTAAAATATATACAAGCAGGATTTGTCAAAGTGTAAGCTCCTAGGGTCAGAGGTCAAGGAGTTTCTATTAAAATTGTTGTTTGTTTATATTGCTATTTTTATTGTTTATTTTGTATATGGGGTGTCAAACTGAATTTTTATCTTGTTTTCTATCATTTTTTTTTTAATTTAAGTTTATGTCATGGGCAATTTGGAAAGACATTTTGACTTCTATTACGAAAGTAAATATAATTTAAATAGATTTAGAAAAGAGTTGTTGATGATTACAAAATTAGTTTGAAACAAAATGGTATGGTTTCTATTCACTTATTTCCAATCATATGATACACAAGCACAATCGGCAACAATGACATCATGTCCATTCAATTTCTTGCAAATTTTAGCATATTCTGATTTGTGTTTTATCTAATCACATATGCAATTGAATTTGTTCTAAATGTAATTACTAATGCACTTGGTGTTAAAGGAATAGAAAATCGTATTCTAAACCAGGAAAGTAGATGAACTTGACATCAATTTAAGTCAATGCCAGAATTTTATCGCAATTTCTTATGCAGTTCAATGTTTGGCCAATGCAGGTTGCACAACTATCTAAAGGCCACATAATGCAAAGTCGTACAACCATCCAAAATATGTATATGTGAATCGCTCTTCCTTTTTGCTCCCTCTCTCTTTCTATCTATGGTACCGGGCATTTCAAGTAGTTTAGGCCAACTAGGATTGGCTCACTCTCACGCTTTAAAATAGAGTCCGTCGATGTGCATTGGCTCTCTAGAGAGTCGGCCAATGCCTGCATTGGACCTTGAGAGAGTCAGTGAATGCAGGCATTGGCCGACTGCACATCAATTCATCAATGCAGGCATTGGCCGACTTTACATCAGTCAGTCAAATGTAGGCATTGGCCAACTGCGCAGTCAGCCAATGCAGGCATTGGCCGACTGCACAACAGTCAGTGAATGCAGGCATTGGCTCCAGTGCACAGTCAGTCTTTAATGCCTGCATTGGCCGACTTCACATAGTCAGCTCAATGCAGGCATTGGCCGAGTCATCAGTCAGTCAATGCAGGCATTGGCTCACTGCACACCCAGTCTGTCAATGCTGGCATTGGCTGACTGCGCATCAGTCTGCCAATGCAGGCATTGGCCGACTTCACATTAGTCAGTGTCAATGCAGGCATTTGGCCGACTGCTCATCAGTCAGAGTCAATGCAGGCATCGGCCGACTGCAATCTCTTAGTCTGCTCAAATGCTGGCATTGGCCCGCATGCATCAGTCTGCCAATGCAGGCATTGGCCGACTTCACATCAGTCAGTCAATGCAGCATCTCTCTATTAATTTACCAACGAGAGGCATGGCCTTTCCACCCGCACACCACACATAAGTTTCTATGCAGTCAATGATGAGTTTTAAGTTTCATTTTGAAATAGGGCGTAGTTCTTTTCGTTTTATCCTTTTAACTACTTTGAATAGCTTATCTGAAATGGTTCTGAGGCAAATATGGCTGAGATTTAATTTTTTTTGATCGAGAATCTGATAATGTGAAGTTGTCAGACACAATTACAAGAATGAGACAAAGATGGACGCTAGACATTCCATAAGAATATCATATTTATGCTTGTAGCTCCTTTGTTTGGGTTTATATTGAAAATGCTACAAGATATGAAATGAAATGTACATACGTGACCTTAAGAGGAACGTCCTCAAAGGTCAAGAATTACAGTGTAATCCTGTTTTCCATTATAGTAATTTACAGATTTTGCATTATAATTAATAGTAAGCAAAGAAGTTAAAAGCAATAACTCATATAAATAATTTACAATATTCTTTTGCACTTATACAATGGTTTCCATGGTTTCTAAGACATGCGTAACATTGCCATTTATATTAGGCAGGGGGAAAATCGAAATGTTTGTATGATCTAAAACTTCACTTGAAAAATTTAGAAAGTCATTTGTTAGATTTTTAAACGTTAAAACGAGTATAGAAATTCATTCTTTTGTATATTTTTAAAAAATCCTCAAATAGATCTAGAAAGAAATTCGTACAATTAATTTTTTTTCCTTACGATTTAGAAATTTGTTTGTTCAATTTTCTGAATCTTATGCAGTTTTTTTTATATTCGTTTGAAAATTTTGAAATTTCTGTATGATTTAAAATCCTTACGCACTTCGTTGACAAACGAATTTCTATAAGATATGCAAACGGATTTCTGTTCAATTAGTCAAACAATAAAATAAAGGTTTCATGAATTTTGTTTACGGTTTCTGATGAGTAAAAAACATTGTACAAACAATTTTCGAAACTGTAAAAACGAAAGCGGTCAAGGTTCATTTGTGTAAACAAATTTCTAATACATGTAATTTAAGATAATCGAATAAACTTCAAACAAAATCGAGCAAACGGATAAAAAAAGAATCCCTCAACCAAAATTCTAAATTGTGTCTTTCCACAGAAATTGTGCAAACGAATTTTTAAGTTGTACATATGATGTTATTTATTTTTGGGAAAATATAACGGAACATATGCGCCGTCGTAAATATGCGTCTGTGCAATTAAAGGTGAAAAGTATTCTCATGTGACTTCTTAGTTTTGCTAAGTTTATTCACACGGCCAAGGTAAAAGTTCGAAACAAGAACTACATGTAGAATGTTAAGAGGAACATATTATTGGATCACTTGAAATTTTATTGAGTATTAATTGTGTGGTGGAAGTAGTATAAGGATCCTAGATAGACGGGTCAACTCAGTGCACTTTTTATGTAAATGAGGTCAAAAATGGAGGATTCTGATTGGTGATGTCAAGATAACCTGCATATGAATGTCAACTGAGTGCAGTGCTAACCCTAACCCCTTATCCCCCTAACCCTAACTAACCCTATTTTAATTTTGCCCTAACCTAACCCTAACCCTAACCCTAACCCTAGCCCCCTAACTAACCCTAACCCCCTAACCCTAACTAACCCTAGCCCCCTAACTAACCCTAACCCCCTAACCCTAACTAACCCTAACCCCCTAACTAACCCTAACCCTAACCCTAACTAAGAAGGTATGGTCCCCTAACCTATCCCTAAATACAGGGTGTGTTTCATAAAATTTTTAAGGTACTACGTTTTGTTTATGCTGATATACAGGTAAATGCGCCGTGTGCATTCTCAAATAAGAATGTGATTATGACGTCACGTTCACAGTCTAGACAGTCTAGCCTAACCAGTTCAAACTATTTTCCTTTAGAAACACAATAATAAAACCTTGATTTTTTACTGAAAACAAAATCAAACAAGACAGATTAGAACACAGATTTTTATTCAGAATGAAAAATACATACAGAATTTTCATCTTGTGGCTGGACACTCCTCTATTTTTCTCCTTTTTGTACTTTTTTCGTGATTATTTTTTTACCTTTCCAACCCAACAACATCTTGTCAGCACTTCTCTTCTGACTATTATTTAGGCATAATATCAAAGATGAATTCTGGGGTAGTTTGGATTTCACAGATGTTCTGGGTGGGTAAGGTCCATTATTTTTTTCTGGTCTGCTTCCCTTCCGAGGTGTTAGTCTCTCATGGGAGTTGTTATTAATTGAGTTAGTTCAAGTTCTTCCCTATGGCCTACAACCAGAGGGAGGGTCAGATGGTGAGCAGTACCTGATCAATATATGATCTTGAGATATGTGATTTGTTATTGAATTTTGCACAAAATATCAAAAAGTTAACGTGGGCAAAAACTGTGGACATTGATTTCTAAAGGAAAAGACCCTTTTGTTAAACAAAGAAACTATTCACATTAAACCATCATTTGCAGAATGGTACCTTCAAACCATATTCTTTGTGATTTATCAAAGTCAGTTTGATAATATTTCAGCCAGTTTCAAAACTTTATGATGTCATTACATTTTTAGGGCGCTAAAAATAGCATAGTTCTTGTTAGTGTACATGTACCAGGAAAAAAATGTCTACTATCAAACAACTTTAACAAACCACAGTATATAGTTTGTTAACAGATCTACTGCTAGATGGTTTAAAATAGTTTGTTAAAAATCTAGTTGTTGTCTCAAAAAATAATTCCAGTTAGATATGTTTTTAAAAATTGCTTTCATAATTAACCTGGCCAAAATTCAAAATAATGCTCCTCTTGTTGGTGGTTATTTTCAGGAAGCTTAGGAAATTCACATTCATATGCAGGTTATCTTGACTATCAATTAGTGGATTTTAAATAAAGGACAAGAATCCAAAATGATCAAGAAAAGGAGGAACATGAGCTTTCATCCATCGTTTGATCTAGTACATTGTAAATATTTACATTTGACATGTTTGAATCATAATCAAAATTGAAACCGTAGATATACTCTTAGAGTAACATTTTTACCTTCGAACTTTTACCTTCAGATTTTCCCTGCCATGTGGTACCTTCCAATATTTATTAATTCATAGATTTATTAGGTCTTTCCACCTTTCTGTGGAAAGACCTATTGATATTCTTCTGTTTATTAGGTCTTTCCACCTTTCCGTGGAAAGACCTATTGGTATTTAGCTCTTTCCACCTTTCTGTGGAAAGACCTATTGATATTCTTCTGTTTATTATTCTTTTTTTTATTATTTTTCCGCCGCATGTTTTTTTGTTTGAAGATATATCGAAAAGGTTTATAGTTCATAGGAATGTACTCCATAAAAGATGTTTGCAGTTGACCCTGTGTAAATGAACCTTGACCGCTTTCGAAGTTATTGCCCCTTTCGCAAAAAATGCTTGTTATCGCTTATCTCACATCACCAATCAAACCGCAGAGGTATGAAACCTTTATGAATGTCTTCGACTAATTGAGAGGACTCTGGAATCTATTCATTGCAAAAGCATTCGGTGACCCCATCAGTGAGTTATTGCCCTTGAAACTTTTTGAATCTAATAAATAATTATTTTTTTTAAAACAACAATTTGTAGAGACATAGGACCAACTGCATAAGATTCATTGACCTTTGACCTTAAAATTAATGTAAAGGTCAAAGGTCAAGGTCATTCCAGAAATGAGGAATTTAGCTCTTTTTATATCTCTTTTGTCTTTTAGCATATACTTAATGTCTATGCATCAGTGATATGTACTCTTAAAACTGTTTCAAAGATTTCATTTTGTCCCCTCAAAGATTAAACCTTTTAAAAGTTATTGCCCCTTGTGCGAAAAACCTTGTTATCGCTACTCCTCCGAAACTGTAGACCCTACAGACACCAAACCTTTACTAATGTCTTAAGAGTTTTTAGACCTAACTTTATTGTATAAGTGCAAAAGAATCTGATGACCCCTTATATCGAATTATTGCCCTGTACAATGTTTTTTGTACTTACTATTAAACCTTATAACTTGAAAACTATAAGTGGTTGAACAATTCAATTGCATTGTTTGGACCTTTGACCTTGAATATTTTTTGCAAGGTTCAAAGGTCAAGGTCATTCTTTTTTTTATTTTCGAACGAAGTACGCTTTAAGAGAGTTTTGGTTTCTTTTTCATGGAATTTAATTTTTAGGAGTCAGATATAAAAGAGTTCAAAGAAGGTGGAAGACCTCTTATTGTTCTGTAAGGAAAAAAAAGTCTTCTGTTTCTTCTTATTCTTCTTATTTTCCGCCGTGTGATTTTGAGTTTCAAAATATATCGAAAAGATTGAATAGTCCATAAGAATGCACTTTGTAAAAATTATTGCAGTTGACCCTGCGTAAATGAACCTTGATTTTTCAAGTGATTGCCCCTTTCGGAAAGAAATTGCGTTAGCGTTTCATTTTCCCCTGCGATAGAGGTATGAAACCTTCACTAGTGTCTTAGACTAATTAAGGGGACTCTTCAATCTATTCATTGCGAAAGCATTCGGTGACCCCTTCAATAAGTTATTGCCCCTGAAACTTTTTAAATTTTACAAATAATTAAAAATTTTCAAAACAAGAAGTTATAGAAACATGGGACCAACTGCTTAAGCAACATTTACCTTTGACCTTAAAATTC